TGTAAAAACAGCTTTTAGCCAAGATTCTTAGCTTTATTTTGATACCAAACATGTCCAGGCTCAACTGACAGATCTTAAGTTAAAAGAAATATAAAACTGTAAAAAGCTGTTTTGCATGAGGCTAAAGAGGTTAATAAAATGAACGGTGGTGACAGTGAGTAAACACTGCCATCTGCTGGTCAAGTTTTCAGTTTCAGTTTTAAATAAAAATCTAAAACGAAGGACTCTTACTTATTTTTTTATTGAATATTAAAACTTTACACTTTGTGTTACACTCAGAAGGTGTTAAAGTTAAAGTGCACAGATTTTACAGGGAAGAAAGAGGGGGGAAATAATAAACCCATGACATAAAACCCAACAAACACATGCATCCCCGTGTTTTACAGACCCGTTCCATGGTCCCGACTCAACACCGCTCATCATACAGACATCACAACACACAAGACTGTGCAACGACTACAAGCTAATCAGAAACCCGACAAATACTAGGGAATTATTGCAATTAAAGGGATATTTCAGCCATTCTGAAGTCTGGTTCTGTGTAACAGTTAAAAACTATCTTACCTGTTGTAGATAGTTTGTTGAGCTGTTCATGTTATACAAATAACTAGGAGGAAAGGAACACTGTTGGTGTGTAGAAAGTTTGGAAATACTTGTTTTAAAGAAAAAACACTTTGGAAGTCTTTCCATTGAGCCCCACTTCTAAATGTCCAAAATATCCCTTTAAAAATACTGTGTAAAGTCTGCCGCAGCCACGTTATTCAAACATTCATTCTGTAACTAGAACCACGAACGTCATCATCAGAGTGAATAAAAACAAACACAAAAATACCTCTAAACGCCGTCACATCTGCAAAGATTCCAGAAATATCTAAATACTTTCACATCGCACAGACGCTACTTCTTCTTCTTTTCTTTTTTCTTTTTTTTTTGTGGGGATGTTCCAGCGTTAAGGTTGACTTCCTAACCGAGTGGTCATGAGTTTGTCCACACACCCCTCACCGATGAGTGAACTGATGAGTCAGCGTTTGGAGGCGAGTCAGAGAGGTCCGACTGAAGCACAGCTGAACAGGAAGTAGAGGAGTCTTAGTTGGAAGTGTTTTTCTCCAGCAGGGATTTACCCCGCGGTTCTCACAGCAACACAACCTTCTCACAACCGTCTCACATCCGTCTCACATCCGTCTCACACCGGGACACCTAACAGAGAGATTTGGGACGAACCTTTGGAAAAAGCTGGAAAATAAAAAGTGTTTTTGTCTCAGTTTTTAGKMTTTTTATGACTTCACAYGTTTAATAAATGATGTTTTTCAGGCTGCAGATTCCTCCTGTCCTCCGCAGACCACCTGGGTCTGYTTGACAACAGACCTCCAGTCACAAACAATCTGCAGGAAGATCTCACCAAYATCTTACCCCAAAGTAGTTGCTTGGAACGAAGCCCTCCCTGCCGTAGAGCGAGGCCCACCACCAGTCAGAACCTTCTGGTTTCTGCAGGATGGTGACCATRTCTCCATCTTTAAAGCTGAGCTCGTCGGGCGCCTGAGCCTGGTAGYTCCACAGAGCGTAGAGCACGCCGCTGTTCTCCACGCCCATGGCCTCCTGCACACCTGCACATCACACAAACCTCTGAATCCAAGGATCACTTTTTTCACGATTTAACTGTGTGAGGCTTCACAATCACTGTGTGATGCTTCACAATCACTGTGTGACGCTTCACAATCACTGTGCGACACTTCACAATCACTGTGTGACGCTTCACAATCACTGTTTGACGCTTCACAATCACTGTGCGACACTTCACAATCACTGTGCGACACTTCACAATCACTGTGTGACACTTCACAATCACTGTGCGATGCTTCACAATCACTGTGCGATGCTTCACAATCACTGTGTGACGCTTCACAATCACTGTGTGACACTTCACAAACACTGTGTGACGCTTCACAATCACTGTGTGACGCTTCACAATCACTGTGTGATGCTTCACAATCACTGTGTGACACTTCACAATCACTGTGTGAYGCTTCACAATCACTGTGTGACGCTTCACAATCACTGTGTGATGCTTCACAATCACTGTGTGACACTTCACAATCACTGTGTGAAGCTTCACAATCACTGTGTGATGCTTCACAATCACTGTGTGATGCTTCACAATCACTGTATGGCTTCACAATCACTGTGATGCTTCATAATCACTGTGTGACGCTTCACAATCACTGTGAGGCTTCACAATCACTGTGTGACGCTTCACAATCACTGTGTGATGCTTCACAATCACTGTGTGACGCTTCACAATCACTGTGTGACGCTTCACAATCACTGTGTGAGGTTTCACAATCACTGTGTGATACTTCACAATCACTCTGTGTGACTCTTCACAGTGTGTGACGCTTCACAATCACTGTGTGACGCTTCACAATCACTGTGTGATACTTCACAATCATTCACACTATTGACATCACTTTTTCTTCCCTACGTATTTCAGCATCTAACTCGTTCCACAACTTTTGTGCTACTTCAACTATTCATATATGAAAACATTCAGCTCATTCATGTCATGTCTTCTATGACTTTTGGTATTTCAGCTATTTATACTTTATCAGCTATTTTACGTTTTTAGCCACCTTTTTGCCATTGAAAATGAATGGAGCTGTTTTCAACAACCTTAAAATCCTTCAAAATGTTTCTAAATCTTTACAGCACCTTACACATTTTGTTCTGGTTCTGCACTTATTTACTTCCTTGTGCAAATTTTAGCTACCTTTTTTTTGCTTATTTTATTTTTTTTCTGCCAGTTCAGCTAAAATTCTGCTTCTTTCTGCTGTTCTTCAGCCTTTTTCTACTTTTTGAGCTTTCTTTCTGCTACTTTGTGCTATTTAAGCTTCTTACGGATGGTTTCTGCTATATTCAGCTAATTGCTGCATGTTTAGCTAATGTTTAGCTGATATTAGCTAAAGTTAGCTTTTTAAAGCTAAACACATTATTTTTGTAGCTATTGCAACTTTTTTCTGCTTAATTCAGCAAACCTGTACTCCTCATGCTTCCTTATGCTAATTAAAATATTTCCAGCTACTGTTGAATTTTTTACAACCATTTCACCATCTGGGTGCTACTTCCAACTTGAGTCTGCTACCTTTAGCTTATTCTTATGCTAAATTTAGCATTTTGCTGCTATATTAGCTAAAATTCCGCTTCTTTGTGCTATTTCTCTGCTATTTACTTTTTTTGTAATTATTTCTTCTACTTTGTGCCGTTTATGCTTCCTAAAGTTGCTTTCTGCACTATTCAGCTATTTGCTGCAATTTTAGCTAATGTTCAGCTGTCATTAGCTATAGTTGGTTCAAATTACTTGAATTTGGTGAATTTTTGATATATTGAGATAAAAATTAATATATTGTTGGTAGCTGAGACTTAGCTCTGTCATAAATAGCAGCCGAAGAAAATCCAAGATGGCCACCAAAGCTAGTTTTTAAGGCCTTTTACTCAGCCAATGTTTGAGATATTGACATGAAAACGGACGCACCGGTAGCTGAGAGCAAGCTCTATCACATATTGAAGCTTCAAATAAATTCCATAATTGTAGCCAAAGTTATTTCGGCTACTTTTTTCCTATTGGAAATGAATGGAGCTTTATTAAACATCCTTAAATTTCTTCATAATGTTTCTAAATTTTTATCGAACGTTACACATTATATTCTGGGTTTGCTCTTAGTAAATTCCTTGTGACAATTTTAGCTACTTGTTTTTGCTAATTTTAGCATTTTTTTCTAGTATTTTATCTATATGTCTTCCCTTTTCTGTTATTCTTCTGCTAATTTTTACTTTTTTGTACTTCTTTCTGCTATTTTGAGTTATTTAGGCTTCTTATAGTTGCTTTCTGCTATGTTCAGCTATTTCAGCTTTTTGCTTTTTGCTATTTCAGCTATATATTTGCTCCTTTTAACAGATTTCAGTTGTTGTTTTTTTGGCTTCTTTCAGATTTTCAAGTTTAACTTACAATAATACTTTTGCTATTAAACATGTTCAGCTTCTTCAGCAGCTTTCAGCTAAAGTTTTCAGCAACAGGCCTTCACACTAGCATTTTCGCAGGAAATGCAATTTCTCTGGTTAGAAATGTGTTCTGGAGCTAAACCTGACATCTGTAATAACTCAGATATTAGAGCTGAAGTGAGGAGGTTTTAAGGAGGTGTAGGTCTCACCTCTCAGGTAGCCCTCGCAGTCCTCAAACCCGGCCAGGTACGGGTCACACTTCTGCACGGCGGTGGCCCCGTCGCTGTGCGTCATGGCCATGACAGCAGCTCCGTTCCTCACCAGGAACTCACACAGACCGCGGTCGTTACAGGAGGCCGCGCAGTGCAGCGGAGTCCTGAGGGTCAACAAGGGAGGGGGCGGGGTCACAAAAACTCCTCAACCGTAACTCAACCGAACCGTCAGTATTTACCAGCCGTGGCTGTCCGGCGCGCTCACGTTGACCCCAATGCGAACCAGGAAGTCCACCACGTCGCGGTGCCCCCCGCAGACGGCGTTGTGCAGACCCGTGATGCCTTCGTCGTTCGACTGGCTGGGGTCGGTCATCTGTGGAAGGAGTTCAACAAGTTTCTTTTGTTGTTTTTTTACAGATATATTGTTGCAAACTCAGCGTCTTTTCAGAGAAAACTTTAAACCTTTCCAGAAAATATTTATTTCTTCCTTTAACAAACCGCAACTTAAATTTTTGTATTCATGGTTCAACACTTCTTTGTGTTTAATCCAGATGTGGAGCGTTACATCCACACCTGGCTGGGAAACGGTTTTATGGAATAAAACTGGGTCAAACAGTTGAGTTTAGGAGGTTTTTTGTGGATGAATGATTTAAAATAAGGATGTCCGATAATATCGGCCTACAGATATTATTGGTCCGATATTAGCATAAAAATGTAAAATCTCTACATATCGGTAGCTTTTTTTATTCTGATAACAAAAGCCAAATAAATTAACGCCTGGATTTGACCTAAAATTATTAATAAATGTTTGTGGTCCAGAGACGTTCACTGGTGTGCAATTCATGACATCATCAAACTGGATTATCTCAGGGAGAGCAGGATCCAAACTATTGTTTGAGACAAAATGTTAAAAATAAATATGGCACTTTAGTGGTGGGCACCAGCCCGCTAAAACACAAATCTGCTAATTGCGGACCTAAACATTTCGTTTGCGCTTTAGCGGTCTTACTAATTTTCATAATTCATAAGCAGATTTGTACTTTCTAAATTTAAAATGCAGTACCACTAATAACTAATTATCTACCAGTCATCATTTTGTTGAACAGCAGAAGGTATGACTGTCAATGAATCACAACATGTGATCTATCCAACAGCACCCCTCCCAGATAAACACACTTATTGTGAAGGTATACATCCTGCTGACTGTTGCTTTCGGTCAAAGTTCTGATTTCCCACAATGCTTTGTGTCTGCTTACGTAGCAGGAAGCCAATAGCAAAAACAGTTAACGTTTGTAATCCATACTAACATTAATTATTTTACTTTACAATTGGAGCGTCTTTTTAAAAAACATGTTTAAACGCTGGAGCTCAATACTTGACGTAATTGGTCGAAGCAACGGGGTTAGACGCAAAAAATGATTTAAAGATGTTATGCTGATGAATACTGACATCTAGTGGTCAAGTGGAGCAACTAC